CTTATATTAACCTCAAAACCAGCTACAGGTTTGACAGATTCATCTGGATTAATGTTAGTTAGTAATCCTATATAACATATTTTCAATATTTTTGGCCCTAGTATTCAAAAGAATATTCTGGATATTCGTAAACTTTTCTCTCATACAACTGTATTTAATACAAAACAGTTGTAAAAGCAGAGTTGAAGGATACCTTTTTAATTACTAGGTTTGCTGGCATTTATAAATGCCTAAAATAAACAATTATAAAAGATAAATTGCTTAATAAAACTTTATTTAATAATTAAAAAATTTCTCAGTTATTTATTTTGCATTTCATTAATTACTATATTGCAAAAAAATTATTTAGTGAACTCACTTATTTTTAATTGACACAAGAATCATGCATTTGATTTATTTTAACAAAGCATTTTATTATTTGATTAGTGCTACTAGTATTTATAAATATACTAATTATTAAAAATAAAATAAGTAAACATAGAAATATCAGTTTACCTCCACTTCTAAAAATTTGTCAACCCCTTGCCATAAACAATTGATTAATATTTAATAAACTATATACCGGTAATAAAATATAATTTGAGCCTACTATCAACATATAAACAATACATAAAATACACAATAATTGATGATATCAATTAATACCTGAATTGAAAATGTACTTTAACTCTATTAAATTTATTTATGAAGTTATAGTAGCTTTTATTTTATATCATAATAATTAAAATATAAACTGATAAAATATACTAGTAATTTATTAAATGGTTAATTACTAAAAACACATTAAATAGTCAATTAATGGTCTATAGCCCAGAATCTGACCACCAATTTCTGAACATATTTCAAGCCCTCTGTCTGCAAATGGAGGTCGCATTGGGTGTCCACACAGTCATCCACACTATATGGCGGTGATATGCGGACACTACTGTCCACCACAATCGCCAACCGATCCAATTGAACGACACAGCCGTAAATCTTCTCCAAATAGGAAAACAGTCGGATGCCATCGTCGCTAATACCGGCGCTGTAGGCATCCCTAACAGCCCTCCGTTCATTTACAGCCCGGCCGTACCGGCGCTCCAAATTGGTTGTATTGATTTGCGGCAACTCTTGTGTGGGCACCTCCTCGGGCGGCACCCGGCTATTGATGAGCACACTCTTGACGTGATTTAGATTCAGATAAACAACATTGAAGTGAATGTCGTCGCCGTCCGTGCCGTCAGACTTCACGGCGAGTATACGTCTCGTGTAATCAAAGGCAATCACTTCGCCGTCGATGCGCTCATCACTGGCGGTGACACACGAGACACGACTTCCCGCCGTAAACATGTTCTCCTTATTGTCATCCGTGGCCATCGATTTCACATCCATTTCCCTCAACATGTGTGCGTATACTGTATTGTAATTTCTATGCAACTCATGTATAAAATATAATAATAAAAGGTAAACAGATTTGAATTGATAGATGAGTTGAATGCTAAATATTTTCCATATTTCATGTTTTATATATCAATAATTGAATAGTTGAGAAAAGTTGATTTGAAGTTTGCACAAATTATGAAAGTGTTTGAATTATAGTTAGTAATAAAGTAGATTTTGTATAATATTCTGTAGACTCAAAATGAAAAAAGATTGTGAACACATAGAGATAACATTCAGTATAAGTCATATTTAGTGGACAGGTATTACAAAAGAGTATATTCTTCCTAAAGATTAATACCGTATGTCAGTGTATGTTTGAGATATAGCTTGATTTGTGAGCACCAGTATCCAACAACTCATAATTACAATTGATAATAACTACAGATTTGTACACTACATGCCTTTTATTCAAACAAATAATGTGTGAAATAATTGTAAATCAATGAAATTAGAGTTTGTGTTAACAAATAGTGAAAATACTAAATAACCTTTATAACTAAGTCAAATGCACGTTTTATTGTCTTGAATTTGAATTGTTCTTGATATTAACAGTAATGATGACATGTTTAAGAATATTATAAACCATGTTTATTAAATATACCTGTTTCTTAGATTAATGATAAATAAACTTTGTATTAAGAAATAGTAGTTATATTTAGTAATAGAAAAATACCAATATTTTTAGTTAATGAGATATTATGTCCAATTAATTTTGCAATAATATATTTTTCAAAATGAATTCTAAATAAAGAATATTCTTGATAAACAGTAACATTAATTAGTGAACAAATATTCATTAACTCATTTTAAAATATTACAAAAAGTAGAAATCATTGAAAAGTACAATGTTGTAGTATAATTAAAATAATAAATTAATAGATAACATGTCATTTCCTACTACATTACAACGTCTTATATTCATACGATTTAAATATAAATTATAAAAATGCATAAAAAAGCAAAATTATTAATGACAAACAAATAATATCCTTGAAATGAATGGTATATAAAAATTGAATGCCTAGCAAATGTGCATACCAATGATTACATATTTTAGACTCCATTTTACATTTAATTAATTTATAATATAGTCAAACTATTTTAAATAATTTTGCATAAGATTTATATAAAGTTTACTAAACTTTTATTCCCTTAAAAACGTGATGTGTAGTGAAATATTAAATCTAGACTTAACTGACATTAAACTACAGAAAGGACAGACACCTCAAGATATTGATCAGAAATGTCATATATATTGCCGAGACTATATGTGGGGCGTATGGACACGGGTGCCAATGAGCGCCATACGGGTGACCCGCATATACGGCGGCCAATCAAATCAGATGTACCGGTGCCGACTGGTGGACAGTGTCCGGGTGGAGGGCGATGAGCCCCGGGATGTAGTCATCAAACTATATGGCGATAAGTATTTTAATACTGAATGCGCCGGAAGTGATCGACACAACGATGCCATACTGGCGTCCATTATGTCAGAGCACGGGTTAGGGCCCAGAATCTACCAGTCCTGGACTTCCGGAGAAATTCAGCCATTTTTGAAAGTAAGGGTTTTACATATTGTTGATTAATTTATAGCAAATTAAATGAATTGTTTGACAGCACCGGCAGTTCGGAGTTTGTGAGCAAAATGAGCCCAAACTGGTGCGAGAATTGGCTCAAAAGTTGGCGACATTTCATTCGTTGAAACCGC